CGATCCCAAAGACGTATACAAGTACTACGTGGATGTGTAACATGACGTCAACATTCTAAGTAGTAGACAAAACCCAAGAAGGTTTTGTTCCATTGAATCGCAATGTTTTCTACACTGGTTCAAAGTATCCTCTTTTTAGTGAAAACTTTTATTATTTTTCCTTACACTTCATATATTTTCTATTCGGTAATAATCAGCAGAACATTTGCGTTTTCGGTTACCCTTAGCAAATTTTAATATCTCAGTGGAAATTTTAACCACCTATAAGCCATTTTTTAAACAGTGGTTCAAAAAGGTCCACTCTGGTGCGATATGATGGGTTAAACTGTAGGAAAAAACCAGCTCAGTCTTGTTTTCAAAATGGATGCCAATCTATAACCCGCCAAAAATCGTAAGAACTCCGTAATTTAACTTAACATAAGATTATTTCGAAAATTCATTAATAGCGACTTAAATTACTCCAATAACTTTTAATTAACTTTTTTAATTTATTTATTTCTTTAAATGTAAATAGTACATACGGATATTTAGAGAACAAAGAAAACCTGTATGTATGTACCTCAGACAAGATTAGTAGCCTCATGGCTCTTTGGAATCTGTAATATGTTCAGTTGCGCCGGCGTCGCCGCCGATTCTTTTTAAAGTTGACGACGATGCGGCCGCAAAACCTGTCGGCGTAAACCTCTAATATGAGCCCATAATTGAATAATAGAAAAGTTTTGTAATAAAATAGTCTTCTCGCTTTCACACATAAAATCGGCTCCTTTACTAGCGCAGAATGTTGCTCACTCTACAGTTTCTAGTTATGTAAAACCAAAAATTCTTCATACTAAATATTCGTTGGCATCACCTTCGTTTGCGTAATTTCGTGGAACAAGTCTAGAAAAGCACCGTTTAGCGGTAAAAAAAGCGGATTGATAGAACTTTTTACGCTGATTTCAACCATATCAAAATTATTTGGCGCAGGTAAATAATAAAAAATATATAAGAGGTTTGTTTGCTTCGTTTATTTATTTTTTTTATTGTCACTAAATTCTTGAAACCGAAAAGCAGATCATGATAAAATGTGTATATCGAATTAAATATAATAACTTATACTTTCTAAATAATATAAATTTCCTTTGCAATAATTTTGCAGTTTTTTCCAAAAAAGGTTATTTCAAGAAAAAATTACTTTTGTTCATATTTTAGCGTTTTTGCCTTAAAACAAAAAACAATATAAACTATGTACATCAGCTCAAAGATAAATAAATTTTATTTATTGTGACGTCATTAGTTTTTTAATCGGTTATGAAGTTCAAAAGATATTAATAATAATAATAATAGATTGGCGCTTACACATATGTTAGCGTTTGGCCGAGCTTCTCCTCCGATTTGTGGCGAGCGGCTTGATGATTTCACACAAAATGGAGGGACCTACAGTTTTACGCCGACTCCGAACGGCGATTGTATTTTTACGAGAAGCTCTTTTTCATGGCAGAAATATACTCGGAGGTTTTGCCATTGCCTGCCGAGGGGCGAGCGCTGTCAAGAAAAAACCTTTTTTCAAAATTTTTTTTTCGATGTTGCTTTGACCACGGCTTGATCCCAGGCACGCACTGCTTACCACTATACCTTAAGATATTAATATTTAAAAAATTAGAAAACTTGATTTTAACCTTATATATCTTCTTTATTTTTTGTTTAGTATTTCCATTCAAACACCAAATATATTTCAAATATATTTCAAAATTCATTTTTTGATTGATATGGATTTATCGAATAACAACTCCCCACATCGCTTTTTGAAAAAAAAAATATATATATATATATTGGCCACCTTTTTCCATTTCAGTGGCGATGCTTGTTACGTCTTTTTGCATTTCAGGTGACGATATATATGTATGTATGTACTATACAAATGTTCTTTAGGTTTTCTACTCATTTTATATGGTCCGGAAAGAACAAAAGCTTTTTGTGGCCAACACTCGTTGAGGTGAAGTGTGTGAGTTCATTTTCGACTTCTCGATTCCTTAATTCACATTCCTCGTACTTTCTGGACGTAAAGTTATAACATTCTCCTTCGAGTTTGTCCTATTTTCCTATGGACAGGGTCAGAATGCTAAATTCTGCCAACTGTTTACATGAGCCCAAGTTTTCTGCTCATTTCATGTTCACTTTTACTATCACACCTTCTGGTTTGATCATCGGAAAAGAGATGGGCAATCGCCTCGCTTTAATTAAGTGTAGTCATATCGAGCCCTAACCGCCAAAATAACGTAAGCGACACTTTTTTCAAAGTTTTCTTTTTGATGCAGAAATATTCCTAGAGCATCTAGATGCATTTCTGCATCAAAAAGAAAATTTTGAAAAAAATGTCGCTTACGTTATTTTGGCGGTTAGGGCTCGATATATTTATTAAAGTTGTTTTTTTTTTTATCAAAATGACATTTTTCTAAAAAATTATATTTTCTCAAATTTTTTCTATAAGTTTTTCTAATTTGTGGTAAATTTTTCCGGTTTGGATAAAAATATTTACATATGTAGTTTTAAAATTGTATGAATAAAATAGCTAAATAAAAATGAGGCGCACTGTAAAAACAGAGAAAGTGATTCTAACAGTTTTCATATAAGTGGAAAAGCTTTTTGAGAAGCGTTTCCCTTGGTCCTATAAGGGTTAAAATAAAAATCATAATTTAACCGTTAAAGTCCGATCAACCGATTAATAGTTATTTTTCGATGTTAGTTTTCGATTTTCATTTTGTGTTTCATTATTTTTGATATTTTTGTTTTTTGATCGTACCATAACCGTTATTTTCAGATTTAAGTCTTTAGATCGTAATGTATTTAAAGTGGCTATCTAATCTGCCTCCATTATAACAGTTTAAAACTATTGAAAAGTAGCGCTTATTTTTTAATTTAACAGTTTTTATTGAGCTTGAGGCCGTTTTATTTGAAAAACTATTGTGGAAAAAATAACAATAGCTTATTAATACACAAATCCCACAATTATTTTTAAAATAAAACGGCCTCAAGCTCAACAAAAATTGTTTAATATGATTTATTTGGCCAAAAATAACAAATAACCCAATAGCCCAATAAAATTAGACTTTTTCTTAAAAAAAAATTGTAACAGCAATTTTTTGATGCAGTTTACTTCTATTTGACACGTATGGCAATGTAAAATTTTTTCGCAGTTTTTGCTAATTTTTTACAATAAAAAAATGCAAAATAAGCTTGCAAATCGCAAAAAACCAAAAAAATAATATCCAAGATGGCGGAATGTTGCCAAATGAAATTTAGAGGCGAAACTGTAGATCCATGATCTATGTGTGAAATAGAAGTAAACTGCATCAAAAAATCGCTGGTACAAATTTTTTTAAAATTTCCAACCAAATTTATCTAATTTTACTGGGCTACAAGAAAAAAATCAAAAAAGAACGATTAATTTTGACCGAAGAAATGTAAATTTAAATTTAATGATTGTAATCATACATATGTAATGAGAATCACTGTTCTTGATTAAAAAAATAATAATAATAAAAAATGATTTTACAATAACCTAAAACTAAAAATGTTGGTATTTAAGGTTTTTTTTTCGGTCCCTGGACTAAATTGCGAAAAATTCTAAATCACTGGAAAGTGTTAATCAGGCAGTGAAAAGACCCAACTTAGGGCAATCTTTTACCGCGAGGTTAACTCTGTGTGTCGTTTAAACTAAGTTTTAAGTCACTGTACAGTTTTTCTACGTTTTGGAAAAAAATTACGTTGAGTAATATTTAGAAAATACATATACATACATACATACATACATATTTGAGGGCTGTCTGCAGCTCTCAAGAAAAACGAAAAATTCATATAAAATTACGCAGAAATGTAAAAGAAATTTGCTACTATCAATTTTTTGTGCCCTGCAGGAAGAAATCTTAAAAAAAAAATTTCACCAAAAGCAGAAAAAATATACAAACTGCAAGAAATTTTTTGTGGAAAAAACGTTGAAAATTTCAAAGAAACTTGATTGCAAAAAGTTTTTTATATCCTTTCTTAAAAAAAAGAGGTTTGTGTTTTTACCGACTTCCAAAATTTCAAAAAGGTCCTCGGTTCTTCGTGCATAATTTAAATTGTAGGCTTTCGGACCCGACAGGGCTAAAGATCATAACCTCTGTATTCCCTGATTTAGTCGTACTGGCGCACAACCTTAATGTAAATTCATTTCCAAACACATCCCACTGTGCGTCGCTCCAACACTCAACGTTCTGCCGCCCGCTGATGGTTGCTGCCGCTCTGCTCGCCTTTTTGGCGTACCACGTTCGGGCAGCGCTGCGTTACGACGTTCGTCTCCATCGTACACACGTGCATACATACATAAGTATGTATGTGTCGTATGGACTATGTATCTGTACGCCCGGTTCGTGTTGGCGAAATGAATTTTCTCTTTTTCACATTTGGGGCCAATTTTTTAGTACGAATTGTACTTTGAAGCGAATCGGAGGTGCTGAGCGGGTCTGAAACCAAACACACAAGTCCACATACCAACCGAAAAAAATAATTTTCCTGTGCTGTAAAGTTGTAAAATTTGCAAATTTTGTGAAATTCCATTGATAAAAAGTCAAGAAAGCGTATGCTAATCCCTTCGTGGAGTCGCAAGTAATTAAATTTGTGCAAAAATTCGCTTGTGAGTGCAACAAAGAAAAGGGGGAAAAAACGCCAGGCAAGTAGAAAAAGTTGGCGTTTGCAGTAAGCAGCTAGGGCAGCTAAAGCAAAAAAGCAAGTGTTCAACAACAAGTGCAACAAGGCATATGAATGCATACGTAGCAAGGCGAAGAAAAGCGAAAGAAATAAGAGTTTCAAGCTGAAAAAAAGCTGAGCTGAAGAAAATAAAAAAAAAACACCACCAAACACTTGAACCACCACTAACAGCAGAGAAAAACAATTACAACAAATAACAATAATAACAGCAACAACATTAAGAACAACTAGCAACAGTGTAGAGACACATACTTACCTACATACATAAATAGATACATACTTATATGTACAGGAATACAAATGTATATACTTGCACATGCATAGATACACACACACCAACAACAACAACAGCAACAACAACAACAAATAATAGCGCAACTAACAAACTTTAAAACTCTAAAAATCTTAAAAACAATCTAAAAATCTGCAAATCTAGAAGTCATACACAGCGACACACAAACACACACATACACGCGTGCATACAGACATTGTACATTGCATTGCAAATTAAAAGCAAAACAAGCAAAAAAAAAACAAGGCAAACCAACAACAAAAACACACAGACACGTAAGAAGTGCAAAAAGTGCATAGAGAAAGAAAATTGCAATTTGTGTAAATTTGCTAAGTTGAAGTGCAAAATTGAAAAATTTCAACAAAAAAAAAAATCGCCCAAAAAAAGCTTATAAAAAAATTCGTAAATCGCAAGTGAAAAATCACTTAAAAAGTTAGAAAAAAATGCTTCACTTCTAAATAAATAGCAAGTGTGTTTGTATTAGTGTGCTGCGCTATACGTGTGTATGAAAAGTATACCCGCGCGCCTCGTTCGCAAGCATTGAAAATTTTTAAATCACAAAAAAAAGGAAATCCAGCAACCGCGCTCCAACTACTCAGCGGCTAGTGCAGCAAGAATCTGTAGCTGTAGCAGAATCTGTGAATAACCACTCCTCCTCCACGATTTGCAATAATTGCGTGCTTGTATGCGTCCCCGTATATGTAAGCCGAAGCTTGCACTTTAGTGTGCGCAAAAAAGTGAAAACTCGCTGAGAAAAAATTTGCGTGGAAAAACTAGAATACACCGTAGTCATCGTTGAAGACTTAAAACTTTGTGTTTTTTTGGGAAAAAGTGAGTGAGTTGTTGCTACATAAATTTTGTGTTTGCCAAACAACCAACCAGCCAACCAACCAGAAAACTGCTGAAGAAAAATTGAAAAATACCGATTGATCGCCCAACCGTCGGCAAAGTGAAAGTGCAACGCCAGAACGTGTAAAAATAACGGTGTAGCAGCAGCAGCAATATCCAACAGCAGTAGGGGCAATTGAGAAAGACGTGCTTTGAACGGTAATTGAATTATTACACTTTACCTACTTAAAATAGTACTACATACTTTATTAACTTGCATACCAAGCCATGCACATATGTACATATGCACTTTTTTATTTAGTTACTTGCACCTACTTGGCATTAGCCATGAAGTTTCATGCTACAACCTGTCTACGAAAAAAATAAAAGTAATATATAATTTCGATAAATTTGCAGCATTAATGTCTCGACATGTTTTCTACACTCTCAAAATAAACATTAGTACATATGTATGTGAAAAACGATTACCGCCAATTTCAGAAATTGAAAGAAAATAAGAAAATATTTTCCATTTAAATTGCTGGTGAAACCGGCGTTTAAACAAGTAATCTAAAATTAATTTTTATTTTTTTTTGTTTATAATTAATTTTTAATTTATTAATGGCACTTTAAATTCATATTTTTTTATTAGTACCTACGAAGACTAAGGAAATAAGAAAAATTTATTGGTTTTTATTTATTAAAAACACTGTATTGCAGTATTCATCAACCAAACAATGCCAATCAAAAAGTCAGACTCGGTCATGAAAATTGAAAAAAATGCATAAAAATAATTTTTTGAAAAAGGTCAAAAATAAGAAAAGCTCAGGAACGTCGAAACTTTTACTTTATTCTAACAAATTTGTACATATTTATGAAACTGAAAGTTATTTTTATTTTTTTGAATACAAATAAATTATAATTGAAAATTTCTACTCTAATTTAGAACTAATTTTAAATTTTTTAACGACGTTTTATATATATAGATTTTTTTGTCAGTTTTTTTTAAACTAGTACCTATTAAAATTAATAAAATAACAAAAAATTATTTTCTTTAAATTTATTAAAAACTCTTCCATGGAACGGTTAATGTATTCATCAACCAAACAAAACAAATCAAAGATGTCAAGCTTGGCCTCTGAAATTGAAACAAAGAATTTAAAAAGATTGTATGATAAATAATTTTTTGAAAACGATCAAAAATTAGAAAGCCTCAGGAACATTGAAACTTTTACTTCATTCTTATAAATTTGTACATATTTATAAAACTAAATTTTATTTTTTTTTGATGCAAGATTAAAATTTTTTTAATATAGATATATATTTTTTTTAAATTTGGAATTAATTTTTAATTTTGTAATGGCAATTTTTAAATGAATAGCGTTTTAGCCAGTTTTTTAAACGAGTATTAAAATTAATAAGATAAGAAACATTATTTTTTAAATTTCTTAAAAACCTAACGTTTAAAGTGTTCGTCAAACAAACAAAAAAATTCAAAAAGTCAAACTTGGCCACGAAAACAGAAATGAAATATTTAAAAAATGTATGAAAACAATTTTTTGAAAAAGAAAATAAAATCTCAGGAACTTCGAAATTTTCACTTCATTCTTATATATGTATTTGTATTTATAAAACTAAAAGTGATTTTTAATTTTTTTAATATAAAATTTAAATAATTTAAAATGAAAATTTTTCAATTTAGATCTGATTAATTTTTGTAAATTTGTTAAAGCATTTACAATTCAAAAAAGTCAAATTTGGCCACGAAAATGGAAATACAAATTTTTTTAAAAATGTATTGAAATTGTTTTTAAAAAAAAAGATCAAAAATTAGACAACCTCAGTAGCGTAGAAACTTTTACTTCATTCTTAAAATTTGTGTTTATTTAAAATTTTGTTTACATATTTCTTTTTTTTTTTAATTAGCAGTAAGTTTTTAAAACTACTAAAAAAATATTGCAAAAAAGGTAAAGCCATTAACACTAAAAAACAACCAATTTTTTTTAAACAAATTCAAACAAATTATGAAGCTTGTTGTGCAATGTCTGACAGTTAATTATTTGACAAGTCTTAACTTAAGAAGTTGAACAACTTAAACTCAAATTCAAGTAAATATTTAAGTCTTACCTCATTCATTTCGGATACGCATAGAGCACAAATCAAAATGAAAGTAACCAAAACAGTTGATTGAGGGTTGCACAGCACACTGTCGAGTAAATTTGCCCATTTTGTGCAAAAAGCCTTCCATACAAATTTCGACATTTTATTTGCGAGGGTTTATAATTGCACGGTTTGCCCAGTCTGCACGGGGTTTGCGCTTTTAAATGAGCGTCCTTATTGTTTTCAAACAAAAACAAAAAAAAAAAACAAAAACTGGAAAACCTCAAAAACTTTCATAGTATCGCAACTTTTATTTCACTGCCAAAATAAATTTTTAATTGTTTTTAGATCTCCTTTCCTTAATTTTTAACATCTATAGTCTTCGTCTAAATAATATTTGAATTAAATTTTGATAGAACTGTTTGAAAAAATTCAGCTACAATTATAAGTACATTTTAGAAGCCTCATATTTATTTATGCGCTTAAAGTCCAAAATTTTTGGCTTAAACATGAATAAATAAATTGTAAATTGAAAAAGTATTTAATCGATTAATCGCACATCCCAAAAAGATATACAATAATAGCCTTATTCATAAAAAATAAAGCAGCTTTTAAAAAGGTTTATAAATTGAAAAAATTTATGAAAACGACAATTTATAAAGCTTTTTAAACCTACTTTATTTTTTATGAATAAGGCCACACGTATCTAAAAATACAAAATTACCCAACAAACATCGAAAAAAATATTTCTCCAACCTTTGAGAAATTTACATACATTCTCAAGTTGATGTTGGATACATGGTTCTGCAATTGTTCTTAAACCTTGGAGAAATTTATAATTCTCATTCTCCAATCGCTCTTTGAGCCTGTAAAGTAAAATAAATTAATCACAAAGAAAGACGAGAGCCATGCGATTCAAATAAAAATCGAAAAATGATTTTACGTATTTAATTTTTACTTTAGTATTGCAAAAATATCTTTTTCTTAAGATGAGAAACATAACTATTTCTTAACAAACCATGGCCTTTTTGTTGAGAACGCTATGATTCTCCAGTTGAGCTACAGTTGAGAAACATCGTTGGAGATTTTCAATTTAACCTCAAGATGAACTCGAACCTAGAAGAGAAGAAGGGTTAACGTTTTAAAATATTTGGTGACGGGTGGACTATTTTCACTGTGAGCCACTGTGCATATGCATTACATACAGTACTTAATCACAAAATATGGGAAAAATATTAATTCAAGCAACCAACCAAGCATGTCTACAAAAAAAAAAAGATTTACGGAATTTATTTTTTGGGAAAAGTACCAATTGGAAAATTTAAAAATTCTTAAAAGTTAAATTTTTTAAATGTTAAAAATTTAACATTAATAATAATAATAATAATAGATTGGCGCTTACACATATGTTAGTGTTTGGCCGAGCTTCTCCTCCGATTTGTGGCATGCGCCTTTATGTTGTCACTCAGCGGATGGGGGACCTACAATTTTACGCCGACTCCGAACGGCGATTGTGTTTTTATGAGAAGCTGTTTTTCATGGCAGAAATACATTTGGAGGTTGTTACCGCTGTTAAGAAAAAACCTTTTTCTATATATTTTGCGATGTTGCTTTGACCAGGGCTTGAACCCAGGCGTTGCGGAGTGGAAGCGCGCACTGCTTACCACTACACCACAGCGGCCGACAAAAAATTCAGGAAAAGACTGATTATGACAACTTAACTTAACGGAACTTAGAACATTTGTCGTATGTATCGCAAAACTTTGAACTTACGACAATTCGATGGTTCTCTGCTATAACAACACAATTAAAATTGGAAATTAAACTAAGTAACCTTTTTTTTTAATTTTAGCTTGCACTGAGTTTCCAATGAAAATGTTCAAAAGACTGAATTGAAGTATTGTTTTTTGTTTTTATAAAAAGAAAACGTATATTCGTAAATATTTACAGCATAAAAGATGTACAGCATTTTTTATTAGGTACATGTATGTATATGTTTTTGTTAAATAAGTAATCATTATTTAATAAATATATCTGGCTTTTTCATAAAATTATACCGTCGTCGTTGAAAAATATACTTTAGTATTATCGTATGTTCTATGGACAAAAAATAAGTGCTTAGCAAACGCTACTTACGACAAATGTATACGGCAAGAAAAGTCAATTTAAGTCTCATTAACGTTTAGAGATATGGAATTTAAAAATATGGAAAATAAAAACTAATAACACCAACTACGTCCCCTTCAAAAATTACAAAAATCTACCGTTTAGTTTCGGTTTAATTCGAGATTAAACTTCAAAGTCAATTTTCTCAAAACCGTGTTTTGTAACATACGACATCCATTTTCTGAGGCGACCATTAAGTTACGTTAAGTTTCGGCTGTTCAATTATGTATAAGTAACATCCATTTAAGTGAGTTTTTAAGTGAGGGCGTGTAAGTTACGTTAAGTTGCCATAATCAGTCCATAAACCTGATCTGAATAAGTTTACTTTCGAGGCCATTGAGATGAATTAACTCTACATCTCCTCAGACAATACCCATTCTAATTTTTTTAGTCCTTCCCATGCTATTTGCGATTATGCCCCTATTTGGAGAAGTGAATTTCATAAATTGGATGCGTTCAAGATAAACTATTCTCTTGTTTTTCTTAGTTTAACTAAGGTTTTTCAGAACTGGATTTGCAGAGCCACCTTTGAGGGTGTTGAAATATTCGTATGATTTAGCCAAACCATTCCATTTATTTCCTGATTTACAGGAGCTCCGCGTTTTTAAATCCTATATGCATGCTCTGTAAGATATTTCTACTGGAATACTATCTCAGGCACGTTAGGAAGCATCCCTGTGATCTCATCGACCTTCCACCGAATACTGGGCTGAACTGGCTACTGAGAGCACTGTATCTTTCAACGCATTTGTCAGCTTCACCCTATGAATCGCCATAAGAAGCTTTAACAATATTTGCTTTTTCTTAAGACGTTTTAGTGTCCCTCGTATTTCAAAAATATCTGTACAATTTCTTTATA